AGCATGGTCCTACATCTCTGAGCAGTAAAACAGTTGTGGAAAACATGCAAGAGTGTGAGCCAAGAGCTGGACACGCTCCAGCCAACTTCCATCCTGCTGTAATTTGCTCTGGTACTAATTTCATTCTCCACAAAAGTCCCTCTGATTGGCACATGAACAAAAAAGATCCCAGACAGGAGGTTCCTCACCTGCCTGAAATTCCATGGCTTCTCATATCCTGTTGTCTACCAAAATTAATGGAATGTTCCAGGTGACTGAACAGTCGAGAGAGGAAGTGGATAGATACCTACCCACCATGAACCTGCTGGGCCCCCAGCAATAGAATCTTAGGAGAAAGGCCATAGGTGGGGTAGGAATTTTTATTGGCCCTTGATTATAAAGCCTGGGAGAAGAGCTAGGGTCTGGACACCAAGTCCAAGGTCTTTTTCATGCTATCAATCACTCTGGACAGTGTGTCCACAAGGGAGAAAGCTCCCTTCTGTACATTCTTCCCTGCCCGTGGAAAATTCAGGTCATGGTCAGAGAAAGACACAGAATATAGGGTAGCAGTGTGAGATCTTCTGGTTGCCTCTGGCTCTGCCCAACGTACCCAAAGAATCCTCCATGGGTGCTCAGGCCCGGAACAGTCAGGCCCTACAAGGTTAGGATGCCTTCCTGTGATTTCCAAGGACCTAAGTAGCTGGTCAAGGTCCTGGTTCCCTGATAAGAGATGTGGTGGGGAGGACTGGGGGAAACTCAAGTGGTAACCAGCTTGCCCAGCATGCATGAGACTCTGAGTTTCCAAGTATCACATAGAAGAAAAAATTATACATTTTTCCAGGCACCAGTGGTTCACACCTGTAATCCTAGCTACTTGGGAGGCTGAGATTAATTCATGAGACCCCCATCTCCAAAATAACCAGAGCAAAATGGTGTGGAGGTATGGGTCAAGTGGTAGAGCACCTGCTTTGCAAGCATGAAGCCCTGAGTTCTATCCCCAGTCCCACCAGGAATAAAAAAGAGAGAGAGAGAGTGAGATGTGGTGGGGTGAGGGGAGAAAGCAGGAAGGGAGAGATTTTTCTGATTACTTGACAAACAGAAACCCAGCCCCAAGTTTCAGGGCTGACAATGTCAGATCACAGCAAATCTTAAGTCACTGTTTGCTTCCCTTCCCCCACCCCTGTCCCGTGTTTCTCAGTCTATCTCTCTCTTATCCAGCACTGATAATCTGAGGGTTCTAACCATGTGCCCTTTGGTCTGGAAGTAGGGGGACTCCAAAAACTTCTAGGAAGGGATGACGGAGAGGCACGTTTGCCTGAACACAGCTTACGAAACACTTTTACAATTTTTTACTGCCACTGTTGACACTGGAACTGGGCTGTCAGGCTGCAGAGCTGGGACAACTACACCTAGTTCTTGGTATCCATGGATGTATCCTGAGTCCCTGGCTGGGATCTCAGTGAAGAGAGCTGAACTGCGTCCTGTGCTTCTCATGACTTCTTGGCTACTTCTAAGGACCCCCAGCAAGGCCCAAGGATGAAAACCCCTGCTTCAGGGTACCCACCTTGCTCTCCCTGTCCTAAAAAGAAGGCCACTAAGTGCCATTTATCCCTCTTACATAAGGCTGTTGGGTCCAAAAAAAGAGCAAGATTTGCGATCATGCTGCACTGGTGTCATTCCAACATGACTCTACACCAACTGCTCATAAAGTTTACAACTCCTGTTTAAGTCCCAGTCAGCCTCTCAGTCCCAACCTAAACATCTGGCTTGTCCACATCTGCACCAGCACCTTTCTTGAAGTTACCTTTAAGACTCCTGCAACCTCTTATCTCTCAAGCAGACTAATCTCCATGAAGACGTGTTCCCAGGCAGAGGGCAGCAAGGGAGGTTGCAGAATGTGTAACCATTTGATGTCCACCAACGATCAGCAGGCTCGGTCATGTTGCCGAGCTTGAATATCAACTGTTCAAACGCCAACCATGGAATCTGCAAATGGGTAAATACCATTCTGTGCACAAGGAGCCAAGGGATCTGTTCAAAACAGCTGCTCTGTGTGTGTCAGAACCAGGCCTTAGTTACAGAGCAACACAGACGGGCTAACAAAGCACATTCTGGTGCTTCACAGATCTGTGATAGCACGGAGACCCATTGAAAGAGCAAACCTGCCAAGAAGAAAATTCCACATATAGAGGAGATAAATAAGAGGCCATGGCCTGTGAAACATTAGAGAAAGCCAGTTCTCTTTTTGAGGTGGAAGTGAAATGTGTTCAGCGTAACCTGAGCTATCCCAGCCCCTCTGACTTGGACAAGCAGATGAGGTTACATGAGAATAGTCCACATTCCACTCCAGGCATGCCCTGCGTGCATGTGATGGATGGCAGGTCCCAGGAAGGGTTCCATGCCTATTTCTGGGAGAATCAGGGATGTCTCTGGGTTTCTCATGAACAAAGCTGATCCTAATAAGTATCCATGGGGGTCTACCAGACCTGGCTGTTTCATAGCCACACCCAGGACAGTGGGGCCTGTGTGCTAGTGGATTGTGACGTGAACAACCTCTCCCCACCACCACTTTGCCCTGGTACTCCAGGACCTTCTAGGATTTTAGTCAAAGAGCCCTTTGAGAGATTGTCTCACTGGTCCCCACCCTCACAGCACACAAGGAGGTCTGGACAGCAGACAAACCTAAGGATCATCCTCTCCCCATGTGCCTCTTAATGGGTCCAGCTGGTCTTATCCAGTTGTTTCTTTTTTGGGACAATGGTTTCCCAGAAGCCTCCTCAGTCCTCATGTGAATGTAGTCATGGCTGGTCAAGATCCTATGTTGCCCAGATCCCTGTGTCCCAACTTGGGCTATGGGCAGAGTTTCCGGTGTCAAAAGAAATTAGACTTTTTCTTCTTCTTTCTTTCTTTTTGGCAGTACTAGGGTTTGAACTCAGGGCCTCACACTTGCTAGGAAGTTGCTCTACCACTTGAGCCATGCCTCCAGCCTTTTTTCTTTCTTATGAAGGTCTCAGGAAGCAACACATCTACACTGCAGTCACAGAACACACGCAGTTTTCATCAGAGCATAAGGTGTGAATGATACCCTTGGTTCTATTTGTGTTTATATAATTGGCTGAGAATTAAATTAATCTGAATAATGCTATCCATAAAATAATCATTTTAGAGCACAAAATTTTGTAAAATCTATTAAACACCTAGAGTTTATTTTTTAAAAAACTGCAACCTTTAGTAAATTCTCATATCAACCTGCCCTTGAAGGGACTGGAAGAAATTATCCCAAATCCCTATTAATGCTAACATTCAAAAAGGCTCTGTAACCCACACATTCCCTATATACCCTGGCCATAAATACCATAAAGGGATAGAAGAAATAAAAAGTTCTTATCAGAATGTTATCACCTGCCTGCAGGACGCAAACTACAGCCACTGAGTTTCACCAGAAAAATACCTATATTTTTATCATAGGCAAAGGGTTAGGAACCCAGGGTCGAGTCAGGAGCTTCTAATTGGTGCACACGTCCTGACACAGAAGTCAGAGATGAGTTCTCAGAAGCCTCATCCATAAGCGACTGCAAATGTTTACATTAGATTTTTGGATGGAGAAATGCATTGTAAGGAAAATTTGCTGTTTTCAAATGGCGCTTATATCTATTAGTATATCGAATCCCCTACACTTCTGTTGGGGCACCAGATGGGTCTTAACTGCCTTGCAAATACAAATATAGAAAGTCGGGTTAGGTCAGCAGATAAACCCCAAATATGAGACCAGCTGGATCTGACTGTCCTGACCGGATCCTGCTTTAATTTAGAGACAAAGTTTGTCTGCTTGGAGACACGAGACAATATCACTGGCTTTGGGGCCAATTCAGAGCATGGGTGGGCCAGTTCTAGCTGTCCTCAGACAAATAACAGCTGGGTCCAGCCAGGAATTTCTCCCCCATCAGCTCAGCTCCTCAGGCAAACCTGAAAGAAGTACCAAGAGGGAGGTGGGGATCCTCCATTTCGTAGCATGGGATATACCAGCCTCCACTACCATGTAAGCTCTCCAAGGGAAAAACACCTCAATACTAATTTCAGATGCCAAGTGGAGCATAAGAACCCCACTGTGCTGGTTTCCAGGCTAATTTTCTCTCAAAATTTCATCCTTTTTTATTACAGTTGGAGATGCTGAGGTTGGGAATTCACAAACTGCATTCCTGCTTTATACCCTGCCAAACTCTGCCTCTCGGGGGCACTAGTGGGAATCAGCCTGGCCAGAGGAGGAAGAAGGAACTCACTGGTTGCTTCCTGATTGCATCCTGTTCAGCTTCTGCTGGCTTCCTGTCCCTGTCAGCTTCCCCTAGCAACCCTTTTTATTAACCCAGGCAGTGGCAACTCCTTCCAGAAGCATTTAGATCCACTTTTGGAATTTTCCAACATTCACACTAACAGCCTCATGGGTATCCCCTCAGAGGTTAACAGTTCTCCCTCATCAGAGGTGAGGGTACCATCCCTGCAGGGACTCTCCTCAGGGCCCAGTCACCAGCACACACTGAGCAGCATCACCACACCCCCATTTGGAAAGTCTGAACTTCCTCCCATATGCTCCTTCTTAATAAGTCCAATATTCTTTTCCCCCAGCCTTAAGGACTATAGCTGCTTCCTGCAGGAAGCTATAAGTTAAGGTTATTGCTATGAGGTTATTCTTCTGTTGACACATCTGGCTTCTCCTTCTGCCCTTCAGTTACCTGGTTAATAATTCTTTCCATTAGATTATCTCTGGTAAAGTAACAGGTGTGATTTCGGTCTCCTATCTAATTCACCCACAATCAAGTCTCAGCACCTATGACAGAAAGTAGTACTGGGACTGCAGGAGGGGAGCTACCCACCCACCCAAGGCCCCCATTGTGCTGTGGTTTCTCTCTGCCAACCTCTGTGCGAACAGGAGCAAGTTCAAATTTAAAGGACGGAGTACGATTTGTGGCAAATGGAGCTTAATTGCTGAACATTCTTGGGCGGATGGCTGCAGAGACTGCTGACTAAACAGTCATGTGTTTCTCCTTGCCGACCTGTACCGAGTTGTAGGGAATCATCCTCAGCATAGGTTTTCGGGAGAAAATAATCTTGTTATACTTTGCTGTGGGATTATCTCTAGACTCAGTTTGTAAGTGCATGGGTTCTGGGACAGTGATGGGACCCATGGTGGATACAGAGTAAGTACCCCACATGGATAACACAGTCTCTGACAGTGCGTCCTGGAGCGCCAGTTCGTCAGTGGATTTCAATGATTGTTTCCTTTTCAGCTGAAAGATGCTGGAAGACTTGGTGGACTTCAGTGTCCGTTGACTTTCTTCAAAAGCATGGATACATTCCAGTTCTCTAGCTTTGCTTTTCTCAATGAACTTTTGTACCACTGGGGAGGTATATGTGACATAAGCTGGCCAAGGGCCATGTTTTTCAAGAAGATGCAAGGGGAGTCCAAGGTTTTCTGTGAGTCCTACCAACAAAGAGAAACACAGGTGACTTAGAGACACTCACGCATACAGTACTCTACCACTTCAAAGAACCAGAGAGGACCAGAGCCATATTTGGAAGTCTTCCCCATAATGCCTCCTTTTATTCAGAGGGAATAAAATCCATCCCAGAGTCAGGAGGCAGAATGATATTCTATACAGTATAGCAATTAAAGGATAGCAGGGTACAAAAGAGCAAGAGACAAAGTCAGGCAGGCTTGCTTTCCATATTTGTATCAAACTGTTTAACCCCTGAACTCTGTCTTTTCACCAATAACAATGGCTGCTGTAAGGTTATTGCAGGACGAAAATATAATCATCCCTTGGTGTGCATGGGAAAGTACTCTAGGACCTCAAGAGTACTCAGTTACTGAAATCTGCGGATGCTCAAGTTCCATATTTAATATGATGTCTTATTTGCACAGAACCTATATACATCCTGCTGTGTGCTTTAAACCCTCTCTAGATAACTTATAATGCTAATACAATGTAAATGCTACATTACTATAGTTATTATACTGTGTTGTATGGGAATAATGCCATTAAAACATATTTTGGATCTACCATTGGTTGACTCCATAGATGTGGGACTCATGGAAACAGGGGCTGACTACAGTATATTTTAAGGGCTGAGAGTATGGAGTAGGTTTGAAAACATGGGCTCTGCACTTAGCCTTCTGCCGTCTCCTACTCAACCCTTTCAGAGCTGTGAAACATGAGCAAGCTTCTCAGCTTCAGTTGCCTCATCTGAGAAATGATGATAAGAATGAGAGCAACTCTGTAGAGCTTTCTGTGCATCAGCAACAGTAGTAGGGGTAGTACATGACAGTTAAGTGGTCACTATTAGCCTTTTAGCTGTGTTTGATAACCTGTACTATTTCATTTAACCTTAGTACATCTTATAAGGTAGGCATCATCCCCTTTAAACAGGGGATGGACTGAAGCTGACTATCTTACCTAACTTACTCATGGTGGGTTTGAACTCAAGTGTAACAGGCTAAAAAAACTCATTAGCTTCTCACTACTGGGCTGTTTGGGTAGGAGGCTTTGCTAGAAATTCTGTCAGTCTACCTGATCTTTTGCAGACATCAAGTCATGGGCAGATTCGTCCTTCTTTCATTTGCAACCTCACTCTATTACCCAGACAGGCCTTCAAATGTCTCTCCTGTAGCTGCTACCTTCCCAGGTTTTTCCCAGCAGTATATACTGTCTGTAGTTTTATATTTCTTTGACCATTTCAATAGGAGTTTGGGAAGCAGGAGAGTTAAAATATTCATCTTGCCATCTTTGAGTTTGGCAAAATTCACTGTAATTGCAAGAAAGATGCAGATCACAGTAATCACCACCCTCACCATCCCTGCTTTTACTTTCCACACGTCAGTTTCCAAAAAGTATTAAATGGAAAATTCCAGAAATAAATAATTCATCAGTTTTAACAACTTATTAAATAATATATTGTCACAATTGTTCCATTTTATTAACAGCTATTGTTGTTGGTCTCTTTTTGAGCTTAATTTATAACTTAAATTTCATCATGGGTATGTATGCATGTGTAGGAAAAAACATCATCTGTATAAGGTCTGGTACTATCTGCTGACTCTGGCATTCATTATTGCCTGGGGATAAAGAGAAGTCATTGAATACAGTTATCCCCAGACTGCCTCAAGGATACTCAGGAGCTGGACCTTGTCAGGGGACAGGTCTGTCAGTAAAGAATGCACCACAAATGGGTTGCATCTTCCTGCCACAGTCCTGTTCCTCTCCCAAGGATGTGTGACTTCACCTCTCATTAGGAAAGTCCCATCACAACTCCCAAGCACAGACCTGACTCTTCTTCCCTGTCTTCTCAAAGCAAATGCAAGATGCAAAGGTCCACAAGTTAGGGTGTTCCCACAGCTGGCAGAGGCAAAGCTAAAACCATCTGGAGCAAAATGAATAGCAACCCCTCACATCTCCTGAACACTCTGTGTTCTCTACCAGTACAACAAAAGTGGCTTCCCATGGAGTCCTGTCTCTTCCCATCCCCAACCTCTGACCATGGCTAGCCAAAGCTTCCATTGCTAACACCCCGAACCCTACCTTCTCTCCTCAGCCATTTTATATCAGTCCTCTCGGTCATTTGTATAGCTTTCTTCACATCATAGATCCAATGACCTTTGGAAAAACACACTTGTTAGCCAGGGCCTCCTCAAACTGGCCTGGGAAGGAAACAATTGGTAGCCTCCCTGGGGATCCTGGGTCCTTAGGTCTCTTCAAGAGGCTAAATTGACTCCACCCCTAGAGAAGGGGACTGTCTTCTGTGGAGCTGAAGGAGGTTAACGGAGCCACTAAGGCCAGCAGGCATGGCCTTGCTTGAGCACCTTAGGCTGCCATGACCATCTCTGCAGGTATTCTGCTTTCTGATTCCTAGCTTTAAGGTCTGAGTGCTGGGCAGCCTGAGTTGGTCCCCAGAGGAAGGTAAGAAGAAAATGTCCCCATTTCAAAGTCAGGCCATCTTCTCTAGCAGAGTCTAAATGTGGTCACATTTCTGCAAGTGTGCCAAGTCCCCCACCCTCTGACCTGCACCTCCCAGCTTGATATTGGGAGCAGGAGTGGCAGCGATGTACAGCTGCCTGGAGTCAGCTACAGAGGCTGCGAGCACAGGCTGAAGTCGGGAAGTCTGAAAGCTCTACATCTCCAGGCAGGTGAGACATTTGGTGGGAAATACAGTTCTCAAACTTGCAGATAACTACCTGTTAAAGCCTAGGATGCCAGGCCCACATGCTGGGGCTGTGGGGGAGAGGCACTGATTTCATATGCTCTGGTCTAAACCAAAGGGGGAAGAAAAACAACCAAAACTAGAGACCTCCATGGTTGTATTATTAACTACCTGAACACAGGAAACAGGACCAGGAGATATTTTTCATGCTTTTACACAGGAATTCATTATGTAATATACTCACCTTTTCCATTTCTGTGGCCTTTAAATATTTGAAAGGGCCATGGAGTATTTCCTGTAGCACCTGCCACAGCCTAATGCAAAAGGGCTACAGACAGTTTCCACTAAGTTCCCAGGAGAGGCTGGTGCTATTGGAAACCACAGTTGGAGAACTGTTGATCCAAGCAGTGCTTCTCAAGAGTTAGTAAGCACAGATCCTCCTGGATTCTGGAGTGGTCACGGCCCCAAGGATGCTGACTAGTAGGTCTGTTGTGAGGAACTGAGAATTTGGTTCTTGAAGTAACACCCAAATGATGGTCCGTAGACTATACTGAAAGAGGTTCTAAGTCTTTCCTTCAGCTACAATATATGCATGAAAGCTGATTTGCTCATGTGTGAAACACACCTTTCCCCCAAGGTAAGCAATTCTGGGGGTTTCCACCGCTTTTTTCTCCTAAGCAAGGAATTGTGGAATGCCATTGAGTGTGTCATTGACAAGGGCAAACTTAAATGCCACTACTTTCATAAAGTAAATTATTCACAGATTTTTAACACCTTATTTTAATACACCTAGCAATGGACAGTATCCTGGGGGATTCCTTCCTACTAGAAAGGAAAAAAGAAAAAGCTGTTTTTGTCAAACCTACCAAGATCCAAGTCTTGAGGAGTCTCCACTACAAGTCTCAGTGGCAATTTTCCACAATGTGCTTTTAAAAGAATTCACAATATCATTTTTCTGAGACTAGGAAACAAATAAAACTCAAATAGTCCTCTAACCTCAAGAGAGTTTCACTTGATAATTTTTAAGTGAAATTTAAAGCATAAATTTCTCCTTCTAAGACCTACTTCTGAGATCCTATTATTGGGTCTGGAGTCCTAAAAGGTAGATGAGTGAGTATCCTATCCTCCATGGAGAGCACTGTGATTCCTGCATTCTGAGAAGGAGTTATAAACCTGCACCTTGAAGAGGAGCTACAGGGACTCAGATCTGCCACAGGGCTGATGAGCAAAATGCTCTCAAGATTGTTCCCCCTGCAATAAGGGGCAAACAGACCAGCTCATCCAAGAGATTCCATGAATCCACAGCCAATGGAAAGAGCCCACCTAACCCTTACCCAAACCCAGAGTTAAAACATCCATAAAAGCCCCAGCCTTCACCTGAGCAGGGAGCCACCGGTTTCTGGGCTCCGCTGCACTGCTCTAGCTGCAGCCTTTCCTTTCTCTCTAATAAATCCTACTTTGTGTACCAGCCTTGGCTCACAAGTCAGTCAGTTGCCTTACGGGCCAGTTCTCTGGCTTATGAAGGCAAGGACCCTCCACACCGGCCCATGACATTTCACACGGACACATAACACTATGGTATCTCAAATTTTATAGTCATACCTTCTCATTCCCCTCTAACATAGATCATGCCATCCAAGTGGTCACCCAGCCCATGCCTGTCTCCCTCCAATAAAAGACAACCCCTAACTTGTCTTCAATATCTGTAGGGCTGTTAGAATTTGTACTTCCTAACATATAAAATAGGACTGCTCATTCATGCCACATGGTGGAAACACCTTTTGAGGTGGAATATTTAGGGGATTTGAAGTAATTCCTTGCATCCTTGCTTCTAAATTTCTGGATAATGAACCAAAGTATTAGGAAAGCCCAGTCCCTAGAGAATCAGATTCCAACACCACGTACATCGGTGTAACCCAGCACCTCTCACCATATCTCACTGAGCCCCTACAGTGGCAGCCCTATGTGGCTGATAGACAATTATGTAGAATGGTAAGTTTTTCTCATACCTGCTGCGTCAGGAACTGGGAGATTAGAGCGAACTATGGGATAGAATTTTGAGACTCTTTCAAAATGCATGGGGAGGACTTGTTTGTTAAAAAATAACAAGAGATAGTTGACACTAAGTCCAAAGGCAAGATATGGGCTTTTATAGTTTCCTGGACTCTGGCACAAAGGTTCAATTTTGTACCCTGTAAATGAAGTGAAAACCAGCATTGAGGTGGCTTCCATGTTTCTCCTATGGATACAAAGGTCCATAGGAGACCATGGTTCAATCCACTGGGTGTTCAAGGCCAGCTCTCTCCAGTCCCCACCCAAACTCTTGTCTCACCATTTTCAGAATGTGCTTAGTTTGCCTTAGATCATTCAAAGAAGTGATGCTTACCTGGAACG